CACAGTATTACCAGTTATTGGTAATCTTGTTCTTATTTGCTTGAACTCTACATGTTATTTCAACTTTGGCTGTGCCTTTGCTTATTTCTTAGAAGGCATTTTATGATGCCATGCAAGAGACACTAGAAAGGGATAGCTGACAAGGAAAAAATTAAAAATTGGATAAAAAGTAAATGAATAATGTCATATTACTAAAAAGATGAGAGGCTAATTTGTGCCGACTTTTTGCTAATTTTGTTCAAGCCTCAAAATGAGGAGCTGTCACCCGTTCTGTGTAGCACTGATGACAGTGCCAATGATCCATGAAATAAGCTGCCGCTGGCTTTGTTCTGATAAGAATGAACAAATCTGCACAATGTTCGGCTCCCAGAATCTCATTTTCATACTTGCATGCAGGCTAAAAGAAATAAGCTGTTTGCAGGCTTGATTAATCAGACATTGGAGGGGTTTTTGTCTCTTTGATCTCTTTCGTCTCCTAGGTAACTTGCTTGACATTAATGTTGAGCTTGAGTAAAGACAATCAGGAATTGTCGACCAAACTGATATAAAAATTAAAGACCTTAACACTTTAAGTACTCCAGTAATGGTTCCGCTTTACTTCAGAAAACATCTGTTTTCATTTAATTAAAGAACAAAAGAGAATGGCATAAATATTTTTCATAGAGACCTATTATTCCATAAAAAGTTAAAGTATGATAATTGGTATTTTTAAATAAGTGCCTTGAAAGTGTTCAAAAGGAGGAAAACTTCATAAATCTGTTACAAGCTAGTAATCTTGAGAGGAGTAAAATATTTTATGAAATGGATAAAAAGTTTATAGTTGTGCTAGATTAAGCTGTTTGAATCAGATACTTCAAATGATTATCAGGAAACACATTTTGCAAGAAAAACTAACTTTATTTTGAAGTTTGTCTTTTAAAAATCTGTAGTATGTTATAAGGATGTGCCATTATATCTATTTTACAACCCAATATGATTTACACATGCTAAACCTGTAAAATTGAAAGGAATTAAAAAAATGTCGCCGTGCAATTGCTTGAGGTTATGCAGACGCTTTTACAAATCTTCCAAGTGGCTGTAAAGATGAATGCCTCAAGGGTCCAGCCAGGGCCCTGCTTTTCCAACCAGCTAAAGCCCTTATCTTAAATCCAAGCAAAGTACCATTAATCTTTTTGAAAGACCTTTTATGGCTTTTAATATATCCCAAATTAGAACATTTTACACCCTTGGTTCCTGAAATATGGTGATAAAAAGCCTTTAGAGCTTAATTTTCCTTACTGCGTGCTCTGACCAATTTGCAGTTCTTTGTGATAATGTTTAGACACCTTAATTAAAATGCAGCAAAATATTGGATGTTCTATATGGAAAATGCTGATACTTTGACTGCACATACAAGAAAATCTGTATATATTTTGATTCATTAAAAAAAAATTCTTCCCATATTGTATTGCTGCTGTTATCTGATGACCCCAAACAGTTTTTAACGTGGAAACCATTGACCAAGCTTTTGTGGTGTTTACAGTGAGTAGGAAGATGCCTTTTTCTTTTTATAGATGGAGAAGGAAGGGGGATTCTTGTCTGCCTGTTTTATTTGTTTGTAATCCTGAAACACAGCGTGATAATCTTTTATATTCTGGAACTTGGGTTAGTCATCTTGACTGGAAAACTATTTCTTCTCAGCCATCTCTTTCCACTAAAGGCCTTATTCTTTTATGTTTCCAGGTATTCTTGTTCTTTTTCTTTTTCCACAGAAATAAGTGAAGGCATTCATTTTAAGCATGTATAGGACACAAAAACACTGTGACTTTTCACCATCATCACAAGTTAAAAGATTTTCTGGTAAAAAAAAAATACATAGACCAGGTTTGTTTAATGTTTTCAATTGAAGAATATTCTCTTTAACTCATGATGATATGTAGTTCGAAATGCACCTTGTACAGGAACACATCTCTTTGGAAGGATTCCTATGTGTTGGTCTGATAGTTTCTTACATTTATTCGGTTCACAAAATAATAGAGCCCTTTCCTACAAATACTTTGTTATACACTCTAATGAGTTATTTTTAATAGTTTATACTTAGTATATGTGTACTGTACACTGGTTGTCCTGGGATGGCTTTAATGTTACTGGAAGTAACTCTAAAGTGTACCCACATGGTCACAGCCAAGGTGAAGAGTCCATTGGAGTCAAGCAACTGCATGTCCACACACTGAGAGGCTTCTTGGTTTATCTGTCCTGAAACTAACAAACCCATAGTAGGAAATTTCAGTAAGTTAAAAATGTAAAAATATGGCTTAATTTATAACAGCTTTAGAAAGTAATTTTCTTAAGTAGGCATGATGGTTCACACCTATAATTCCAGCTTCTCAGGAGGTGGAGATGGGGAAGATTGTAGTTCTAGGGCAGCCAAAGATAGGGATAGAATGGAATTAATGGAATGGGTTAGTGAGACCCCCATCTCAACAAAACAAACCTGGCATGGTGTGGCATTTCTCTCATCCCAGCTATGCAGGAGGCCGTAGGTAGAAGGATTGCAGTCGGAGGCCTGCCCTGGGCAAAAAAACCATGAGACTGTACCTGAAAAATAAAGCAAAAATGTCTAGAAGTGTGGCTCAAGTAGTGCCTGCTGAGCAAGGTTGATGCCGAGTTCAAACCCCAGTGCCCTTTCCCCCCAAAAAAGAAAGTAACTTTCTTACATTGTTAATGCTACGTGGCAGAATGGTTCAGATCATTTAGTAGCTGAGTGGGTCTATTTGTGGGGGGAGTAGTGCAAGACTATCACATCATATCACATTTGCAGTTGATGTGGAATACGTAGGAATGGAATTAATGGGAAAATACAGATTTTTATGTTTTGTATTTTTGGGGATGGGGTGGGTGGGAGAAAGACTGAAATCACTCACTTGAATGTGGACAGACAAGTACACCTTAGCACAGGTCACAGGCTGCGTTTTATGGCAGAACAGCTTCCTAGGTGCACTTATTACTCCCCAGGTTCCTGTTTCCCATCTCTCTTACATTTAAGTGGAGCCCTGTGAATAGTTCTGACCAGTGGACTGTGAGCAGACATGATGTGTGTGTCACTTCAGGACTAAAGTATTGAAGAGTCTGTATGAGACCTTCCCACTCTTCTTCTACCACAGTGAGCCCAAAGGCCATGGGGGAGATGCTGGCACCACAAGATGGAGGAGAGCCCTGCCTGTCCACAGGGACTTCAAGTGAAGTAAATGAAAGTTCAGCCAGTGAGATTGGGGATCCATTTGATAGTGCAGTGCCCACCAACCTAACCCAGCCTGAAGGTGCTAGCTTGATTTATTTTCTTTTATAGGTATGAGAGGTGGATAAGAATTCCATCCTAGTGAAAAATGATGCCACCGCATCCTCACAGAGTTTCATCTTCTCCTGAGATGATCATGCTACAACCTTAACCTTTTTTTATGGCTGATCTTGGAGAACTTTTCACTGATAAGAAAAAAGCCAGCAGAACAGAGCATTGAAGCAGTCATGCTTCACTCACAGTTTGATAGCAAAGCCTGTGTAGCTTTGTGCTGTGTCTCCTGCACCTGAACAGTGCAGTAAGTGTGCAATTCTGTCACCATAAAGTTTGTGGAGTAAATGTTCTCCTTATGAAAAAGATGACAGCCAGTTGGGAAGCTAACATTGGTTTGAGTTTTGAGAAGGCACTGAGGTCGCTCTGCTTTCTCCAGTGGGTTGCAAATCATAATTAGTCATTCTTCATCCACTTTTGTGCTGATGTATGTTGGTTTAATTGTCAGCTTCCATCTGTTTGCTTATGTATTTTACATATAGTCTTTCCTGAACCGAAAGATCAGATGTATTTTTCTCTCATTTATAAACTCTGGCCAGTTCTTGATTACCACTTGTCTGTTTTGCCCTAAAGGAAACTGTTCACGAAGATAAACTGAAAGCTTGTCAAGCATGCCCGACCTCACTTGTCTAAATTGGCTTCTTTCTTTCCACATGTGCTCTTAACCTTGTACCATGTCTTCTTCTTGGCAAGCAAACCCCAAAAACTAAGGCTTTGATATGTTGAATTTAGAGTACCTTCCAGGTTGTTTCTTCTCCTCGAGTTTGCCTATTTACTAATGTGCAAGGAGTGAAGGAGTAGAAAAGGCAAGAAACACTAAAGATTATTAGCCATTGCTATTTAACCTATGCTTGAGGATTCATATAGGAGGCGTTCTAAAATACAAACCCACCAAATGAACGTATCAGCATTCCCATTCTTGGATACTTGCTGAGGAATGCTCTGCACTTGAAGAGCTGGAGAAATGCAGAAGCTAGAATTTAGAGATTGAGTTAGTGAGGGGGTGTGTTTTGAATGGACCTTGGAGGACTGGCAATGGGGGCATCAGGGGGCATAAACAGGGCCCTGCCCAGGGAACCCCTGGCTCCTGGAGTTCAGCCTCTTCACCTTCTAGCACCCCTTATATTCTTTTCTCTCTCAGAGACTTAAAAGCTGTTGCCCACCATACAAAGTGCATTGATGAAGTAGTAGTTAGCTTTCCCATGTTTATTAATCCCATCTGTGACTGCCAATCAGAGCTTCTGATCAGCCTGAGATAACTGGTGTGACCATACTGAGTTGCTGTAAGTCTAGCCCAGAGCAAGATGTCTCTGTCAGTCTGGTGCAGCGTTATCAGGGCAAATTCGTGTTCGGCCTACAAAATTGCTGGGATAGCTAGAAGAGCCTCATTACTACCTTTGTGGACCCTTGAAGGGCCTCAGTTTGGGAAGGATTTCCATCTGGGAGATGGTGCAATTAGGGTAGGGGTCTTTTGGGAGGGGGAGAAAAATATGGGCCACATCTGTGTGTTTGTTACACTTTGTTCAAGGGGCCTGAGTATAGATTTCTAATTTGTAGACATGGTTATGCTTACCCACATGTTCATAATTGTTTGTATTATTGGAATTCTTATAGTAGCTAGAATATTTATTTTCACTTTTTTTTTTCCCTTTTGCTCCTTTGTAATTCTTAGCTTGGTGTAAAAATTGCCAAAGCAATTGCCTGCCACAAGTTTGTAAAAGCCAAAAAAGAGGCTGAAAATTCACAGGCTGCTCGAAAGAAGAAGAAACTGGCATGGGGGTGAGTTGACTCAAGATCTTTGTAGTAGTTCTACTAACTTCATAGGAGTTGCAGAAAGCCTGCTGAGGCATTTTGTGAATCCAGTTTGTTGGCAGCTGGATTACTTATTTTATTCTTAGTATCTTTATATCTTAGTATCTTAGTATAATCTTATCAGATTATAAATAGGAAGGCATTTCTTCATTCTGTTTGATACTTATTTTGTAAGGAATAGAGTGTGTGAAATCTTTGAGTTTGTTTTCCTTTGGTCACTTAGTAAGCATGTTTCTTTAGGAAAGTATTTTTATTTTAGAAATAAATTGAGATTTTTATGTTCTTCCTTTTAGGTTTGAAGCAAAGAAGCGATGGGAAACCAAAAGCAACATGGGATATATGTAACTCTGCAAAGTTCTTCAAGACACTTGGAGACTTCATGCTCAATTTACTGGAAAGATTTACTTACTTAAGTTAAATATGTCAGGAAATTGATAGAAGTAGACAAAAATGAGCATAAAACTTGGGAGTTGGTTATCAACTCTATTCTGTCTTTTTCTAAGGAGTTCATTTTTTGAAGGGAATCTATTTTGTTATTTGTGTAAGAAATCTAGCACAAGTACAGGAAAGAATAGAATGTTATTTATTTATTTATATAGACCTACAGTATGAAATCAATTTTGCTTTCCATCTGTTTGATACAGCATAGCCTTATACTTTCTTATCTGTTCTTGGCATAGCTGTACTTTTTCTGAATTGTGTTTTTGAGATTAGCTTTTGTCTATAATGGATTAGTCATAAGTACAAAAAAGTCTCAGTTGTTACTGTCTATATAAATGACTTTAATTACCTTAATGCTATAAAAATCATTAATTCTTTTTTGGAGGCAGTAGAGTTGATATTTTAATATCAAGTAATAAAAGCAATTGATTAATTTCTGTATACCTTCAGGTGAAATAACGAAGAGGAGGACAAAATGTAGTATTTAGAAGATAATTTAAATTCAGTTCTACCTGGAACTGTCTTTCTAAATATCTCTCAGCCATGTCATTCTTTAAATGATGAGAAGAGAATATGGCATAATTGTATGAAACAGACAACTATAACTCAAGATAACATAACTTTGAATTGTCTAAGAACTCGTTCATTTGTTTTTACTCCTCTTCCTTATTATCATTAAATAATAATATGAGTCAATGAGTCTGAAGAGAGGACTGGAACCATAGGAAGGTGTTTACATTAGATGCATGTTCCACTGTCCTTACAGGAAAGGGCTTTGAGAAATCACTTAACAAGGTGGTAAAAAGGCCATACTTGGATGCTATGAAAAATGAGTCCTGGCTATCATTACAGTATTATGTTAGTTTTTAGACTTAAAATAGCAACACCGTTTTATTAATTTATGGTGATGTATTTAATTTTTTCTCTGTGTTCCAGAGTAAGTGAATAATTAGTTGCTATTTAAGAGTCCAAAAATCATGTCTTGCTTCTGTTTAATTGAAAAAAACTATTATAGAGAAAGCAAAATTTTGGAGGTCGTAAATCTCCTAATTTATTATGAAAAGGTTCTCAGACAAAACATGGGCAAATCGTAGATTTTATGACTTACTACCCATTTTAGACTCCTCATGCATCAGTACAAATGCACAGAACAGAAACCTTTTCTCTAAGAATCCATAGTGCAGGAAATAGCCACTCCACAATCCACTGGTTCTGTCTGAAACATAAGAAATGTCACCTTTAAGCAGAGGTCAGCATAGATCATCTCACCATTTCCCTTGGGCCTCTGTCCTGTTACCCCCCACCCCTTATTTGTACTTCCTTAGGACATTTAGTGACCCTTGTAGGCACATTTCACTTTTGCCCAGGCCTTGTCAGAATGGCCTCTTTTATTGTCTGACTTGGGAACCTCTGACTCAAAGTCTAGCCGCCAAAGCCCTCTTCACCTCATCCAGTGCCAGCATTTGCCCCTCAGCACCCTAGTAAGGGTTCTTGGGAGCTTTTTGCCTGAGTGAAGGGTGGTGTAGTGGGATGAGAAGTGGGAGGGGACTCTTGGCAAGGGAAGCCACATTTGTCTCCTTAAATCCATCTTTTGGAGACATGAGTTTTGGAAAGCTTCAAAACATACTGGTACTTACACAACTAGGTGGGAGGAAAGGATCTGGAGAAGGGGCTTGGTATCTTGGTTTGTACCTGCTGACCCCTTCTTTGGGACCAGTTTTATTTGATCAACTCTAATACAAACTAGACATTTTGCTTATTAAAGCAGTGAATGGGAGTATTTTTCCTAGACTACCCATGTTGCCCAAGGGGTGTGGTCATTTGTCCTTTCCATTCTGGTCACATTGAAATAAGGATTCCTTGTGGCTCAGTAATAATTTCACTTCCTGAAGCTTTAGCATGTGTGTTTACTACCACCAACCACTTGAGTTAGATTAGTAATGTAAATGTCAGTTTGTGAACTGGGATGAATATGTTTTAGACCATGGTATGGTATTAATGTAACTCTGATTTATTGTTTAAGTACTTTAGGCTAAAACGGCTTACTAAAGAATAGTAATTTTGAGCTTAACAGCACTAGTTCCAAGAAGTAAAGTTGGTAGTGCAATCTTGAGGGCTCCTAAAGCCCTCAGGACATTTCTGATTTTCAGCAGAACATTCTATTTCTTTTGCCAAAAGGAGAGTTTGAATGTATAATATATAATCTCAAGCTTGCTATAATTAGTTCTGATGACAGTTAAATACCTCAGCCAAGACTGTAAATTAGTAGCTAAGCAGGTTTCTGCAACAGATCATAAATCTCAAAGTCTATATTTTAAACACTTTTTTTTGGGGGGGGTAGACAGATGAGGGAGGGGCAGGCCAAGGATAGGAATAAAATATTATCTGAACTTTAGGTAACAACTTTAAGTCTCTCATTTAAAATCTGCTGATATCCTTTATACCTGTTGTCTAAAATGTTATCTTTTAAGTATTTTAACAATTCAGGTTATTGATAACTAATAAAAGATGTTCGAATTTAATTCTTAAAATATGAAGATATACATAAAATGTCTAAATTTTTTTAGGTAAAGGTTACGTTTTTTTAGAAATGTGTATCTTAATAACTGAAAATATTGTATGAGGCTAATGTTGAAATAAAATGCCAATTGTACACTATTTTTTAAGAGATAATAAAGTTGGGGAAACAAGTTGACATTGTGTCCCATTTTGGAAAATTAACTTGGTGAATCCTAGTTGTCAAATTCAGAACCTGCTGAGACAATTCAAGTTTTTCTCTGTTGGCAGAAGTCACTTTTATTTTTAGTTTCTGGCAGAGTTACAAATGCTTTGCATGTCAATTTAATATTTTTTTAAGCCAACTGTTTGTTCATGGGCTTAAAATTTACACTCTACTAAAGTCTTAGCCTTGACTTTCATGAAACAAATAGCAATATTTGGACAAAATATGTGCATGAAAATCTTTCTCTAAGCCCAAATGTGGATTGGTATGTGTGGCATCATTGCCTTCTAACCTGGTAACTGAGGTGAACATACTATGAAAAGGCGAAGGCTTTATACACACCCTTGGTAACGCTTTTCATGTGCCCTCATTAGGAAGTAATCAGAACGTGTTTTTAGATTTTCAAACTTGAATTACTGGGAGATACTATGCTAGAAAGTAGACTGTTGGTAAGTTTCGGTGAACTATCAAGAGATACTTTACTAACACATATGTATTTTCGGCCTTTGTAACATACTGAAGCAGTGAGACCATTTTCCTTTTTTTTTTTTTTTTGGTAGTAGTAGTTTGAACTCAGGGCTTCGTGCTTGCTGTGTATAGGTGCTCTACAGCTTGAGCCATGTGCCAACCCTTTTTGCTTTGGTTATTTTGGAGATACCTCCTTTTTTTGCCCAGGCTGACCTGGACTACAATCCTATTTTCCTATTTTATGCTTCCCATTGTAGCTGTGATGACAGGCATGTGCCCCGCCCCCGCCCGTGCTTTCTTCAGTTGAGATGGGGATCTCATGAAATTTTTTTTACCTAGGCTGGCCTAGAACCACAGTCTTCCCACTTTCAGCCTCTTGCCTGGCTGAGATGATAGGCACATTGCTGCTGTTCCCAGCTAATGGTTGAGTCTCTTTAACTTCACGTGCCCAGGCTGACCTAGAACCACGATTCTCCCATTCTTAGCCTCCATGTAACTGGGATTACAGGCATGAGCTAGCGGGCCCAGCTGGGAAGGGATTCTTGATCTCAGTAATGATCTCAGTGGCAGGGGAAGAAGACAATGAAGAAATTTAGGAGTCACGCTGTTCTGCTCTGGTGTTGGAATGAAATGAGTGGTCTCACTACCATCACCTGCTCACTGGTGAGAGTTTTGCAGGTGGGTGTTCACTTGACCAGAAGTCTTCAGAGATAGCTGTGCCCTTTGAGCAGCTTCCTGCCATATTGGTTGGTGATTTTTGTCCCTGGAACAGTGCATGAAATGCTTGAAGTACACTATGTTTTAAAATCTGCTTGTAAAATCAAGAATTAGCTGAGGCATAATTATATTTTTATTGGTATTTGTAATCCCCTTTTAAATTCAAAGGAAAAGCATAAAAGTTTTCTTAAGTGATTTTTAATATATACCTGTTATATCCAAATCAGATTTCTTAAGGAGACAGAATATCCAGGAATGAAAGGGGAAGGGAGAGGGCAGTGCCCAAGAGAAGCCTCTGTGCCTAAGTGCTTCTGTGCCAGGTTTCCCCCTGTGCCCATTCACTGGCACCACCTGAGCAGCTGCTGCCCACACCTCCTCCTGGGTGCACAGGGTGCCTCTTGCTAAATTGCTGCAGGGGGCTTGCTGGGTGACAGCTATGGAATGAGGTAATCTTTTCCCACCTCTCATTTCTGAAGGGTGTGTCTGTCCAGTTATTACTTGTTCATTGAACCTAGAGCTTCAGAAACCAACAGTACAAGCTGTAATTATTAATGTCTGTTTTCATACTCAGCTGTAAGTTCTGGCATTTGGTCAAGAAGTTAAGATATCACTTTATCTTCAGGCTGAATGTCTCAGCTATTGAGGTTTTATTGTTTGATGGATAGCATACAATTATAACTGCCAGAAAAAAGAAGTGTTTTCATTTGTAAGCTAGGTGATGATACTAGAAGTATTTATGAATGTCTTAAGGAATGGTGGAACAATGAAGCATCGAATTTCTTTGAATTTCTCCCTACAGTATTAACTGAGAAGCATTTACTGTGTGTCAGATATTGAACTTAACCCTGGCACATGCAAAGATGAACAAATACAGTTTAATGGAGATACATGTATACCAAATATGATTTTTAGATGGGTCATTAGAAAGTCACTTTTTCTTTGTTGAATACAATTCACAATGTAATAAATTAAGTACCATGGGCTTAAAAATTATAGTTGCCTAGGTATATACAAGATGTTGAGTTTCCTACCTGGACAGTTAGCTACAGTTGCTCTCTTACTTTGTGACTGATACACGTTTGAACACTTTTGTCGGAGTGGGTGGATTGATGCCCTGACTTTCCCCTTAATTT